TGCCCCCCCCCCCCCCCCCGCATCCTCCTCCTGTTCTGAAATGTGATTTGTCCTTTTCATACGTGTTCATTTTTTTTTATTGTATCCTTTGGTATATATGGCTGTGACAATTTTCTTCCACTATTTGATCGGAGGAAGTGGGTCTGGCCCACGAAAGCTCATCATCTAATAAACCATCTTGTTAGTCTTTAAAGTGCTACATTGTCCTGCATTTTGCTTCACCCATTCATAGTAGTCCTCAATAACCTTGCTTAGTGGTTTCTGATTTCCAATCCATCCAATTGCCAAAGTTCATCTACCAGCAGCGATTGTGTTTAGGAAAATAAATTTTTTTAAGTGTAAGGAAAAACCGGTTCTCTCTTTTGTAACTGTCACTCGTGGAGAGGTGTTGCTCGTGTCCATTCTATGCTAGGTGTGCACACACCCACATGCACAGTCGGAGACTTCTGCCTTGGTGGTATCCATAAGGTCAGCTGGGCACCCCTTTGAGTGTCGCACTCGCGCACTGGTACATTAGGCGCTGCCAGCCCCATGTCCTCTCAGTTCCCTCTTGCCAGCAACACCAATGGCCAGGTACTGGAATGAATATGAGCAACACGTCTCCAAGAATGATAAAAATTAGGTGATTTTTTCTTTGAGCGTCTGCTCATGTCGATTCCATTGTAGGTGACACAAAGGCAGCAGTGCGGAGGGCAGGGGGCTTCTTCCAAGTGGGGCTGGAGCTCACTAGCTGCTGGCCCTGCTCCGGGGACTAAAGACCAGTCGAGTAACCGATAAGAATTCATGAGGTTACTGACTATTCAGTTAACTGCTATTTAACATCCCTACCCTGGCCTACACAGTCCATGCTGTCTGCTGGGCTCATAGGGCACTGGGGTGTTTGAGATAGGGATGTTAAATATCAATTAACTAATCAAATAGATAGGATTTCCATCGACTATTCGATTAGTCGATAAGGATTAGCATGCGTTCTGCCTTCGAAGTGTACAGGAGGCCCAGCAGGGGTGCATTTCAAAGACTGAAACGCCACATG